CCAAAATCGGAGAAAACTGTTTATTATTGTTTACCAAAATCGGAGAAAATTGTTTATTGTGGTTCTCCAAAATCGGAGAAAATTGTGTATAGTAGTTCTCCAAAATCGGCGAAAATTGTCTACTGTAGTTCTCCAAAATCGGAGAAAACTATTTATTGTAATTCTCCAAAATCGAAGAAAATTGTATATTGCGGTTCTCCAAAATCAGAGAAAATTGTGTATGGTAGTTCTCGAGAATTGGAGAAAACTGTTTATTGTAGTTCTCCAAAATCGAAGAAAATTGTTTACTGTGGTTCTCCAAAATCGGAGAAAATTGCCCAACAAGTGTCTATAAACATGAATTTTCTCTAAATTCAGAGAGAATTGTCTACAGTTCTCCAAAATCGGAGAAAATCGCCTAATGATCCCGCAAATTTGGAGAAAATTGGCACTACCAAAATTTTCAAATTCGGAGAAAGCTCCATTCAAAATTTTCCGAAACAGGTGGGGGGTGACCTTCCTATCCCCCCCCCTCCGGTCGCGCCGTCCCTGGCTATAAAGTCAGAAGGACTAAAGCAAAGAATTTGATATTTATAGTAGTGTTAAAGGGCTATATGACCTACTAGATGAAGTAAAAAAAATCTTTTTTTCTTATTGTCTTCATATGAATAGGGGTATTATATTAAACTGGACATAAAATCAATTTAGATCCAAAATCATCGAATATTGACATCGTTCAAACTTTTTATCCGTCCGTAAAACAATTGTTGGTCCCATCACCAAAAATGCTTATCTCAACGAGTTCTTTCATTTGATATAAGACAGTAAAGGTTTTCTTGAAAAAAATATGACAGGCCGATTTACGAACAAATGCGCCTCCCCCCTCCTTTGTTGCTTCTTTTGACCATATATTAAATGGATGACGAACTAAAAATGTTCCTAAACTTAAACCAGCAAAAATAGCTGATGAAGAAAAGTAAACAGTTGATAGATGTGATTGAACTGTTGCGAATTCATGACGTGTTATCATACGTTGAATAGTACGGCCTAATCAAACCCTCAAGATAGCCACCCTCACCCTCACTCTCGCTCTCGCCCTCAACATTTTTCGAGAATTTCTCATAGTGGATTTCTACCACATTCGGCTGTCGTATTCAACATCGGTACAACAGACGAATTTCGTGTGAAAGTGCCCAATGGCATCGATTTCCAACTGTAGGAACCCATCTGAAGATCATTCACGGAAAATTATTGTCTTTCCGTGAAAATTATGTAATCCTAGGAGGCTGCTTTGATCTGAGTTATCATCTTATGAATCGATTTGGGTTGAGCAATCCATCAATAAGCGAACAAACTTCGTTGAAAATGTATCTCTCTCACTATCTCGATCGATTTCGAATAAACAATCTACTACTAAGTGAACTGATCTGAATATAAATTTACTCGTTTCGATTTCGATCGATTTCGAATAGACAATCTCAAGGCAAGTGAACGAATGTTTATAGAAATATATTTCTTTTTCTTTTTATTAATCATAAGAAAAAAAAATGAATACATAAAACATTTACATATTCATGTTAATCTTCTATAGATAAAGTTCAATTGAAAATCAATTGTTCGGCATAATTGTATTCTTTGTTAATAACCCTACTTTATCACCATCTATGTAGATTGTGTAAAACTTTAATACGTCCAGTCCTAGTATGAACGATTGAGCTTGAGTGATACAACCAACCAGATCATATGAATATTCATCAATGATCAGTTTAACTTGTGTTAGATATTGCCTTTTCAAACCACTACCAGTTTCTACATCGATGAACATATTTGGAATTTGATATGGATTTAATGATTCCGGTATACATGTCATCGATGCAACTGTATCAATTAAGAAATTATGCCATTCATTATGTTCAATTCCATTGTAATCAAGATATCTGACTGGTAGACTTGGAGTAGTTAATCCGAGTCCATCACCGATGCAATGTTAATACTACTGAAAATAACGATCGGCTCGCATATAAAGTAAATTTGCTAATTGAATATCATCATCAAGATTTAATTTATCATTCTTGATCGTTTCTATCAGCTTGAAACTGTTGTCACCTTGTGCAATGACCTGTCCATGTCTGACTAATATGAAAATTCCTTTTGATATGTCGAATTGTTGTCCGATTAATTCAGGATATTTTTCACTTTTTGCAATGAATATTTTTTCGTCCGACATTACAAGGATAAAACCAAAATTCACTGGAGAAAATTTGATCACGATCAGAAGATTGTGATGTTGATCAAAGTTGACACAATAAAAAATGCGGATTGATTGAAAATCATTATCATTCTTCTCTCCTCTTTCCATGTTAGACGTATCACTGCCTCTAATCATAGCATGACTCTCCGCTTGTCTCTCTATCTAGATGTCGCTATTATTCGGTGATCTCATCAACAATTCGTTTCACAAGTCTATCGCACTAGTACACATATAGATCTTTTTCCTTTTGACATTGAAATAACCTTAGAGCAAACATTACTCGGTGTATTAATGACACCGTTTTTATTTTCACTATACTTATAAAGTTTTTAATTCTCGCTAACAGCAGCGCTATCTCAGACTCAATTTTATCGAGAACAAATACTAGGGCAAATAAATTGGACAGACAAGAAATATCTACATTGAAATCCCCATGAAGGAGAAAAAAAAAAGTAATCAATAAGGAATACCTTCCTTCATCGAATGAGAAATGAACAATACTCTCAATCGTTCATGATTAAATTGTAGACGCATTCAAAATCAATACGGATTGATATTTGAAGGAGACATTTGTGTCCCAAGCTAAATATTCGATATTTTTTTCATGTCCATTCATCGGTGGAATTCAACTCGTTAATCATTATGACTTGAAGAAAAATCGAGTAATCTAACTAGGAGTTTAAACATTCCATGAGATTAAGTGAATGTTTTCAATAGATCACGAATAAATGATCGAAAAAAAAAACAATTTCTATCAATAAATCAAACATGGCTGATACTGCGACATCCTGTTAGCAGATTACATTTCGTCATATTGAAGTCAAATACTCTGATCATGTCTAACTCATTGAAGAATATTTTTCTACCTAGAGTAATAAGTATCAAATTCACGTTTGAATTGTACTAATGATGAATCTCGGTCAATCTGATGTTGTAAGGTGATGAAATCATCTCACTTTTCTTGTGCTTCTATTCTTTTATCATCACGAACAGGATCATAAGTTCAGTCAAGTCCGGATGATATCTGTTACTTTCAATTACAATTTGCATAACCGTACTATTACATTTTAGTTATTTGATGCAAAAAATAACCATCCTATCTGTCGATTATATCATGATTCACTCGCACCTTCTCAAGGACGATGAGTCACCAATCAGGGAAAATGTCTGGTTTCTTTTTCTTTTCCCATCAAATACAATTCTTCGTGAAAAAAATAAAAATCTTCACACATAGTCGTTATTCTTGTTCTATACAACGACTTACAAAAGAAATCTATCAAAAAAATCATGACTAACTACTCTGAAGCATTTCAAACCATAATGAGCATCCAGGTCGAATAGTTTAATCTTATCTCAAAGTTCTATCAGTAAGATAACCCATGGAATCGTTGGAATTAATCTAAATTTTTGACTATTGATCAAATTATTACTTTATATTCGCTACTTTCAACAGCTTCTCATCTGAATGAACACGAAAGCATATATCTAAAAGTTTCATTCAGTACAATATTCAGTTGGGGTGTGGGTGTGGGGTGTGGGTGGGTGTGGGTGGGGTGTGGGTGTGGGTGTGTGGGTGTCGGTGTGGGTGTGTGGGTGTGGGTGTGGGTCTCGCGTGTGTATAAAATGCAGACTCACACCCACACCCACCCACACCCACACCCCACACCCACACACCCACACCCACACCCACACCCACACCCACACCCACACCCACACCCCAAAGTGTTCAAAACATGTATGTTTTTTTCAGAATTATTGGTTTTTTCTTTCATAGCGTAAATAATGTGTCTGTATAGTTATAGATAAAGACATCATTCGATCATTGTTGAGTCTATAAAATAATAATGAACAACGAAAAGTAAGAGAATTAAGGCCGCTTTTCCTCCTCAAAAAAAGTCAATTTTCGTGAGAACTATCAAAATTGAGATAAATTAACCTATCGTCTGCTCTTTCAAAACTGATACAAATTTTTCCTAAAAATTTTTCAAGATTCCAGAGACTCAGTTTTTGAAAAATCAGCGGTTTTTTGAAATATCCAAAAGTCTTCTTCTTCTTTTTTTTCTCATTTTTTGGCTTTCTCGTACGCGCATCTCAAATTCTGTCTGTAATGGTTTGTCCTTGTTTGTTTGAAAGACCTTGTTAAGATGCAGGGCACCATGTCGCTCTTTTTTTGAAATACTCTTTTCTTGAGTCAATATGAAGTCAGTGATATAATCTGATTACCATTTTGTGATAAGTCTTTGAGTCGTTGAACTTGTGAACTGTTTTTTTCCGATTAAAAATGACGACGTAGTGTCGTGCACCTTGACACGCTCTTTCAAACAAAAACAAAATGTTAATATGTTAGACGAATCGTTACAGAGAAATTCTGGTTGCCTAATCAGCTATTTTTCGACCTTGTTTGGTGAATACCTCCCTTAAATGGAATAGTTTTGAGTTGGAAATTTTATCATAGATACCCTTTAATGCCCTCAACGTATCCTTCAAATTTCATCTCATTCTAACGCTCCTGGGTCGAGACCGATTTTTGAGGTGGGGAATCTTAATAAGTAATTATCATCTCTCGAACTCTTTTGCACGAAAAGTTTTAGTAATCAATATTTTCGAATGTGTTCTTAGACGAATAGAATGAATTGATTTAGCCTATTTACAAGTTCCATCAGGAAAATGCTTTATATTTTAATAATCATCTCATCGAGTTCCACAATCTACTATAGTCATGTGAATCAGTTTTAGAATTTCTATTAAAGTACTGTATATCATCTATAGACAAAAGAAACTCTTGAAAGCAGTTTCCTTATAAGTGCCTAGAATGACAGTAAGAATAAAAAAGAACATTTCTTTCGTAGGATCGAAACACATTCAAACGTTTCGATCGTTTTAATGCAAATTATAATCCTGTTGGTCAAACGATGTTACGGTAAACTGGAAAATTCTATTGATTTTATGTGTCAATATTTGGTTTTGTTTTTTATAGAGAAATTTTTATGAAACCTAATAATTATATTGATGGTGTATTTTTTGCTGAAATGTTAAAAGTAATATATTCGCGTTTTTCTTCGAGCAAACAATAACACGAATCATCTTTATATTTTCTTTTTTCAAGGAAGTTATTGTCCATTTAGAAACGAGTAAATATCAACATGCAGAACTTCGTGTGTCAATTCAAGGTAGAAGTATGGATGAATGGGATCAATTAGCTACATGGTTTTTAAAAAATAAAATGCATTCGACTAATGTTAATTATATGATACAAGTACCATGGATTTTGTATGTTTCATTAATGAAAAAATTTCTATAGTTTAGAAGAAAAAAAAAGACTTAAATTGTTTTTCTTAGTAATGTTCATTATGCAAGTGGTAAATTAAAAAATTTTCAAGAACTTTTAACAAATCTTTTTCAACCATTATTTGATGCAACAATTAATCCTGAATCACATCCAGATTTATTTCATTTTATGCGTTATTTTACTGGTTTTGATTCAGTTGATGATGAATCAAAACCTGAAAGATCGATAATTACAAGTATTACATATCCAGATCAATGGAATACAAATGAAAATCCACCTTATGCTTATTATTTAGTATAATATTTATAATAATATTTATTTTTTTTTTAAATTTTTTGAATATGTTTAGTTTTATATGTATGCAAATATTCTTGCGCTTAATCAACTTCGAAGGTTAGAAATCGAATAAATTTTTTTTTTAATATGAAATAAAAATTCTTCATTATTTTTAGATCACGTGGTTTAAATACGTATCAATTTCGTCCACATTGTGGTGAAGCTGGTGATGCATCACATCTTACTGCAGCATGTATACTTGCAGAAAATATTTCTCATGGTCTTGTTTTACGTGAAGTATTTTGTTTTTTGTATAATATATATATATATATATAGTGAAATTATTATATTGTGATATTTTATATTAGTCATCTGTATTACAATATTTATATTATTTATGTCAAATTGGTATAGCTATGTCACTATTAAGTAATAATTCATTATTTCTTAGTTACAATCAAAGTCCATTTTTGGAATATTTTCAACGTGGTCTTTGTGTTTCATTATCAACAGATGATCCATTACAATTTCATTTTACTCAGGTCAATATTTTTCGAAATCATACGATTGAATTTATTGATTATGAGTGATTTTTTTTAATCACAATTTCAAGTTCAAATGTGATACATAGGATTTCCTAGTCGAACATCTTGTGTGCATTGGATACATCGGTACTTAAGATCTTGTCAAGATCATAAAAGAGATATCATTTACTATTATCTTTTCATAAGATCTTAAGTAAAAGAACGACATCATTAGTGTTTACATGCTGATTAGTCATTCACAGTTTTTTTAAAGCGTACAGAACCATATATAACCAACGTGATTGAACATAGAAAACATACATTTTATAAAACTATTTCTCGAATGTTGATCATTCGAGAATATGCTGATTTTCATCAATCATCGATGCAGGACTATCCTGAAGCAGTTCGAGGGCGATCGAGCCATCTCAAGGTCAGTCAGATTCTAAGGTTTGACTTGCTTCAATTATTCAGAATAGGAATAGTTAAAATGAAAACAAATAGAAATGTCACAATATGATTTTGCCGAAAAAAACATAAATGCGCTATACGATAGGTTCGAACCATGGTTTCGAAATACATCACGCATTTTGTCTCAGTATGTACCCAAAATTTTATGAATCTGTAACCAAGATCTTGCTTACAAGATGTTCGACTATGGTTCTCTTATCTGTCCAAATTAATACATTCGATTTTAATAGGATTGTTCGAAAGTTTCATTCATGACAAATCAAATAGTTTTATTTTTTGTTTCCTTTTTCCTGATGATGAAAACACATGACGTATGATGCCCACGAAGAATCTAGTCAAAACTCTATTTCAAGTGATTTTTATATTTTTCTTTCGAATTTCACATTAGGGATAAAGCGTGAAGTGCGTCCGAATCCTCCATATATATATATATATTAAGTTAACTTCTCTATCTTGTAGAAAACAAAAGTCACAAAGATGATATAAAAATTTTTAGGAACCATTAATGGAAGAATATTCAATTGCTGCTCAAATATGGAAGTTATCATCAATTGATATGTGCGAAATAGCACGAAATTCCGTTTTAATGAGTGGTTATTCGGATGAAGTATCATATTACAAGTTTATTTGATCTTTCTTCAAATTTATTTTTCTATGATTTAGGTTAAAAAAGCTTGGCTTGGACTACATTATAAAGAGTCAGGTGTTGCTGATAATGATATTCGTCGTTCAAATGTACCAAATCTTCGAATAGGTTATCGATATGAAGTACTTTGTGAAGAACTTCGTTTACTTAAACTTGTATATCATAGTCGACAAGAAGTAATCTTCTTTCTTTTATAAAGAATAAAAAGCAAACAAATAATTTCATTTTTTTAAAAATTTTTATAGAAAAACACTGACGTACATTCATTTTAATCAATTCTCATCGAAACAATCACTATCAAAAGAATCCAAAATAATCTAGTAAGATAAAAAGAAAAATCTCCCATAAAAGAAAATTTTATTATCTATGGAAATGTCTCTCATTTACCATACATTATGATCCCTACGTCATATCCACATTTATAAATAATTCAACAATTATGGTCAATTCTGGTAACCAAATAAGGATTTTACTTTAGGACTTTTGTCTTAAATATAAGATATTCCATACAAATCATAACTGAATAGTATCTCAGTTTTCATAAGATTTACAAGAGAGATCTAATTTAAATGTAATGTATTCTAGTCATCAGAAACAGAAAAAAAACCGAATAAATTGATGTCTTTAAGAAAAGAAATAAACTTATATTTTTGCTTGTTAAACTCGAAAATTTTCATATGAAACAAACTGAAACTAGTAATCTGGCAAAAAAGAAACAATTAAATCATCGAAATTAACACAAATAACTAATGTTCATTTGTTAAATGTCGTTTATATAAAATTATACATAAAGTTTGTATAGCCACATCGGTACAAGAACCATTATTTAGAAATATCAAATTAAAAAATTGGAGTCGTCAAAGAAATATACTAAATATAAAACATTCTTCTATTCTCTAAGGTTTTCGTAAGCAGAATTAGAAATTAATCATTTGTAGAAAATTTCTCTGCATTTCTAATAGAAAAAAAAAACTCAAAGAAGAGTCTACCGGCATATCTCGTTAAGCGATGTTTATCTTCTTCGGGTGTGTGTGTAAATGCATCAGCTATTACACAGCTATACCCACACCCACACTCTTAAGTCAAAATCACTGTTTGGTCACCAGAATTGATCATAATTGTTAAATTATCCATAAATGTGGATATGATATGCGGATGACAATCTTTGGTAAATGGTAACCAACGATCGATGGATGTACTTGTTTTATATTGTTACTTTGAAAGACTTTTATTATATAAAATGAATTATTCCTTTTTATTCTAGCTCACAATAAACATAAATTAGTGGCAAATCAATAAGATTAATTAGCAATCCAATATTTTAGAATATTAGTAGTTTTTTTCTTTACTAACAATTATTTTATTTTATTTTATTCTAATAAAATACTAACAAGTGTGATGTCGATATTTATCAAACAAACATGATAATAAAAAGTACCTTAACGTTCGCCATTCTCGTTGTTCTTCTATACTTTTAGTTTCATCAGAAGAAATACTTCGATAAGAACCAACAACAGTAGAAACGAAAAGAAAACCGCGTAAAAAATAATAATCTATTTCATCATAGTACCAGAAATACATAAATGAGCTTCACAATGCGTGACGGATCAGTCGGATATGGAATGTGGTTTCTCTTTCTATTGATATCGACAGGAGTGTAGGTGCGTGGTTTTGTGGAACTCACGTATGTTTTCGAAGAAAATAGTGAGTATAAGTTTTAAGTTCAAGGTTTTCCGATTCCCCCCGCGCCCCATTACAGACCTCACCAGCCTCGCACAAAAAACTTCAGCTTTATTGAACAATAAAAAAGAATGGTTGAACAGTATGAAGAATATGAGTTTGACTATTATACAATATTTCAATATTTTCATAATTATTTGAGAAAAATTAATATACACTTGATGAAGTTCTGAATACTGTAATCGTTGATCCTTTTTAGAATTCAAACTTGCATGTTAAGATAAAGAATAAAGAGTAGTAATACATATTGATCTGTCGTACTGATGATTTAATCAATACGAGAACCATGATTCGATCTTTTTACCAGTGCTAGAACTAGACAGTATCAGCATTTATGAAGTAATTGAGATGTATGATAGTGTAGTAAGAGCGCATAATACATGTAAACTGCATTATTGTACTATTCATATTCATGAAATAATCGATGGTGAAAATAATCTCAAATTAAAAAAAACAAAAAGTGATTAGTATCGAGTATGTAGCAACAATAATAATAAAATGGGGCGCACTCAAACGAAAGAGAAAGTTTTGTTTAAAATACAAAAATAAATGATAAATTGGGTGTGGGTGCTACTGCTTTCCCCAACGCATACCCACACACTAACGCCATTACCCACACCCACACAAACCTACCCCACCCCACATCCATACCCACACCCGCACTCACACACCCACACCACCCAAACCCATAGCCACACTCACACACCCATACCCACACTCCTACTCCACACCCATAACCACACCCGCCAAAACTCGATTTATACTTACACTCACTATTTTCTTCGAAAATATATGTGAGTTCTACAAAAGGCATCTTGTATCCTTGGAGCGACTATATAGATGGATAAAGTTTTTTATTGAGGACACTATCCAGGTCTAGGGGTGCACCAGTTCCAGTCCGACTGGTGAACTGGGGGGTACCATTTGAGTTGGGTTCCTAGTCCGACTGGTGAACTGCGGGGTACCATTTGAGTTGGGTTCCTAGTCCGACTGGTACCCAGTTCGACTTGTATCGAGTGGGACTGGAACTGATCCGACTGGTCACCAGTCAGAACTGGATACCCAGTCTGACTGGTCACCAGTCAGAACTGGATACCCAGTCCGACTGGGACTGGTGCATCCCTATCCAGGTCGAATAAAACGGTCAGTAAATGATCATAAACGATAAAGATACGGTAAACTACAGTGATCGTAACGGCTGATCGTTTACAAATGATCGTATACGATCAAAGAACGATGAAATATGATAATGTTTACGATGACCGCTTACAGAGCACCGTAAACACTACGTATTCTAGTCGTAATAATAAAAAGGTGTCAAACAACGTGAAGACACACTTTCAACAGGAAAAGCGGTTTTTTTCTTTACGTCTATGGAGAATGCACAAAGAAATCCTACCTTAATACAAAAACGTTCGAAATAAGCACTGTAGTACTATACATCGATTGCGGCGCCCCTTAGAAAAACTATTGAAAAATGGTAAAACTTCTTGAAACTAGACCTTCATACGCTTTAAAGCACAAGTTAAAGAGATTTACGGAATTCCATTGAGGTTTTTATTTTTCTTCTTTCTAATGATGCTCAAGGTTGAGCATAATATTTATATAAGTGAATGACTTTTTTTTGTTTAGATTATTATGAACAACGTCGTTCATAAGTAAATATAGATTTGACTGAATAGAGAAATTTATTTTTATTCAAATTAATGTCAACAACGCCGTTCATAAGTAAACAGGGACCGCTTGAAGGAGTCGGATCAGAGAAATCGATCCTAAAATCGGAAAAATTTTTACAGATTTTTTCCTTTAAAATCGAAGAAAATCGGCTCGTAATATTCTCCTAAATTAGATTTTTTTCAGTTTTGGAGAAGTATATTAAACAATTTTCTTCACACTTAGATTTTTCCGGTTTTGGAGAAATTTTTATAATTGATTTCTCCGTAATCGAGAAAGTTGCCTAAAAATGTTCTCCAACTTGAGTTTTCTCCGATTTTGGAGAAATATATTAAACAAATTTCCATAAATTCAGAGAAAACTCAAGTTGTAGAATACTGTTAGGCGATTCTCTCCGATCTTGGAGAAATTCGTATGATGTATTTCTCCAAAATCGGATAAATTTGCTTAATAAATTTCCCACAATTGGAGAAAATTACTTAGTAAAATTCCCAAAATCTTCAAATTTGGAGAAAGTCCCAGTTAAAATTTTTCGAAGCAGAGGAAAGTAATTCCCCATCCCCCCGTTCGCGCCGCCCCTATAAGTAGATATACACTTCACTAAATAAAAAAAATTTTTTTCAAATTAATGTGAACAACATCATCCACAAATAAATCGAAATTCATCAAATAAAATTTTTCTTACGTATTTATAGTAAGACCCTCTCAAAATAGGATCTCCAAGCCAGAACGCACTATTGAGCACACTTGGTGTATATATTGGGGAACGATAGTTACACATTAAAAAAAATTCCGCCTTATATCTTTTCTTAGCAGAGCTAGGTCAATTTTAGTAGTCATTATGATGCCTCCAGCATTCTTCAAGAGCATTTAACTACCTTAAGGCATAGAGCTGATTTTCTTCCTTTTTATTTTAAAGAAGATACTTGGGGCTAGCACCTCTCGCCATCTGTTTTTAAGTTTCTTCTTTTTGTTACTTTTTTATCCATGTATCAGGTCATGAATCCTGAGAAAAATACAAAATCCTATGAGAATATCGGGATTTTAAGGAAAAATAATAACATTTTTTCTTTGTTTAAGCTTTTTTCAAAAAAAGGGTCACGAGAGTCGCTAGCCCTAAACATGAGCTTTCAACCAAAAAAAATATTTGACTTTATCTTATACTGTGATAGAATGAGGGTGTGAGTGTGGGTGAATACAGAAAATATTTTTATCCACACCTCAGATTGCATGACGTCACTAATCAAACAGAAGAAACCAAGGTGAAGTCATTTTGCTGCAGAGAAAACGCAAATAAATAGTGATGTACTGGTTATTTAAAGAGGTATATTTTTCAGTGCGGCTGGCTTTCTCCTCGCTGAGTCATAGCATATATATAACTTATATATAATAGACAGTACTTCTTCAGTCATAATTCTCACCTATTCGTTTCCTTCGCTTCTTCTCCTTTCTCTCAACACTACATCCAAAGTCATCGTAATGATACCAATCGCCGTTCTGATGGGACGGGTGGCATTACTCAGCTCAGAACTGCGCCCCGTCGCGATCGCTGCATTAGATGAGCTCACACGGCGCGGACTGACTTCTACAACGTTGAATTGGTTTCGCGAGGCAATGATTGCAGTTGGCTACAGTTCATACATCAAATATCTGGGCGACATAGCTGAAAAACTGTTTTGATGTAATACATATTTCAAAAAACTAACTCCAATAAACTCGAACTTGATTCATTAACTAGCGTGTTTTTCTTTTGCTGAAGTGCATACTATCAGGTATAAACTAAGCTCGAGTAGCTTGACGTTGCATGCTACGGCTGTCAAGCTTCTCGAACCAGTTAAGATTTTTGAGACTTACATAT